CCCGACTCACACAGGGAAGGCTCGGGGGGGCCCTGAGAGCAGCTGGAAAATTAGATGTAAGATGAAGAGGAAGGGGATGGGGATGGGAAGCAGCTTAGCTGGCTTTGTCCTAAGAGCTGTAATCACCCGAGGCGCAAGCATGAGCCCCGTTTCGCTGGGTGCCGTGCAGCCCTGCCGCGGCGGGGGCAGCTGGCATCAGCTCTCCCCACCGTGCCACGCCGGCTCCGCGTTGGCTCTGGTGGCAGCTCAAACTTTGTTCTTGCTTGGAGCAAGTGCCCTATTTTGACTTTATTGCACAAAAGACTGTAATAACATAAACAGGGGAAAGGTTGGTCAGAAGGTAACGATGAGGTGTCTTGAAGGCAGGCCAGTGGCTTTAATACCCCAAGCTCACTGTCTCACCCGGCTACCAAGCCTGAAAGGAGGAAAAAAAGCAGGAGTGGGATTTTAACCTTTGTTTTTTCCCTCTTCCGACAGTGTTTTCAGACGCTGCCACTACCCACAGTGAGCAGGACCTGTGCCGAGAGGAGGAGGGGATCTCTGCAAAGTAAGCTCAGCTTTTTAAAGGCTTTCTCCTGCTTGTTTTGCTTTCCAAGAGCGGCAGCGGTGGCAGAGGCGGTGACCCCATGCCTGGGAGCGCAGGGGCTCCCAGTGCCGGGGAGCGCAGGGGCCCCCACCGCCCCCCGCTTTGCCCTAGCCGCAGCCTTCTCTTGTTACGGGTCGCCGATGGGGACAATGGCGATTTTCTGTGCTTAATTTCTTCCGGTTTCAGTGACACAGCGAAAGGCAGCAAGTGCTCTTGGGTGGGCTCCCGTGCAGCCCTGCTCTCACGGGCAAGGTGTAGCTGTTGCACAAAGTGTTTATCTATGAACAAGCTGAGCAGAGAGCAAAGATCTTTCCACGTAATGTTAATTAAACAAATAACGGTGTGTTGTTGAGGCTTGAAGAAGGAAATGAGGTTTAGCTTTGTTAAGGAGGTGCCTGGAGGAAATGTTTACAATATTCCTCAAATTGCATTATTCCTGTTTTCCTTGGGGGAGGAGGGCAAACCTGGCTGTTGCTTCAGAGGTTCTGTAAACCGTTTTTCTTGGTGCTGTGTAGTGTGGGGGGTTGATGTGACACAGCGTGCTGGTGTGGGAGGGGGAGAGGATGTGACTGCGGCGATTCAGTTCCTGCTTCACGGCATAACACGCAACATACCACATACCGCTGTGAGTCTCGCAGGAGACAGAAATGAATCTGCCTGCCCTGGCACGGGGAAGTGTGGTGGTGATGTTGGGGAGGGATGGCTGGTGGCAGAGCAGGCATTGGAAACATCTCGTTTTAGAAATGTGTGACAGAAGAGCTAGTGCTGAGGAAAGGGCAAGACATAAGTTGGTTAGCAGGAGGAATTAGAGGAGATGTGTGTGTGACAGGGTTTAATCTCTTAATGAGAAAAATATATCCCGGCTGCCTGTGGTGGGGCGAGTTCAGGGACGAGCATGGCATTGCATGAGGGCTCGCCCTTGTGCCCTGTGTCCGCCTCCTGCCACCCCTGAGGTTTGTCCAAAGGATGCTCGGAGCCGGGATGGGGACCTGTGATCAACAGCAAGTGCAAAACGCCCACGGGGCAGGAGCGGAGACGTGGGGACGGGTTTGAATTTGTCTTGGATAAGGGCTGGTCGCCAAAGAGCACTCTGCCAGGTTGTTTCCTTCGGTTCCCGAGCCCATTAATAGGCTCTGCTCCCTTGATTAGTTGGTGCCTGACTAAACCAGTAATGAGAGTCGGGCTCAAGCCATCAATTCTAGGTCAGTGGTTGTGTGCTGGGGATTTGGGATTGGGCAGGGAGAGGGGAGCCGGAGCTGGACGCCCGCCTCCGAAAAGCGATGCGGAGCCTGTGTTAAGGCAGCCCTGCTTGCACCCATCCCGGGGGAAAGGCTGCCTGCACCCATCGGAACGGGGCTGCCCTTCCCCTGTCCGCAGAGTGCCCCAAGGGCCGTGACGGGCCCCGTTGCCCCGGACGTGGTCCGTGCCTGTTGGAAGGCTCATTGCCCGTTGGAGATGTGCTCTCCTGAGAGTATAACACCACAATAATTAAATCCATTGAGGAGCTGGAAGAAACAATCAAATTTTTAAACTGAGACTTTGCTGCGCTCCTGAGCGGTATCCTTTGGCTCTCGCAGAGCCGCTTTCCTCTCCCCCTGGCAGCAGGGATCTCATTTAGCATTGAGATCGTTTGTGACGTTTAACTTCTGACCCTTCCCTACCTGCACACAGGTGAGGCTGGGCAGTGAAGAGCAGCATGGACCTGGATGTGCTGAACATGTTTGTCATTGCTGGCGGCACCCTGGCCATCCCCATCCTGGCCTTCGTGGCCTCCTTCCTCCTCTGGCCCTCAGCGCTCATCCGCATCTACTACTGGTGAGTTCGTTAGCCCGGCTGCACTCATTTTAGTGCAGGGGTGCAATTGCTGCTGGTCCCCATCAGGTCCCTGTGCCGGCTGCGAGGGTGGAGGTGGGTGTTCCTGCCCATGAAGGCAGCGGGAGCAGGTGAGGTGGGGTTTTCCACAAGCATAGCAGCTGTGTGTAGCTTTAAGCATCTCTGGGAGAAGAAAATGGCATTTTCTTATTGTTTTTTTTCGCTGCTGAGGCTTATGTCTGCCGGGGCAGCATCAGCTGGGCTGTGGGACGTCTCCAAACGTTTCTGGGTTGTTTCCCCCAAGGGCAGGCCTGCGGCTGGG